AGACTAATTCAATTTAGGAATGCTTATAAAGTGTACACTTTTGTCAAAGATTACCAAGGTTAGGAGTAAGAAGAGTGTGACAGAGTATAAAGGTATAGAAATTAAGAGCCAAAGATCTGAAAGATCATAATCATGCAGCCTATCTTAGATGTTTCTTAGTTCCTCCTTTTGGTTAATCTGCCAAAAATGGAATAGAATCAAACACCATAATCCAATCACACTGTTGTTTGTTGTACCTAGGTAAAGACAAAAAACTTTCACTCTTCTTGTATTTTATCTTCTATAGAGCATCCCTCCCTGCTCCTTTTAAAACAGAAGAAAACTTTCAATGCTATAATTTGAAACAATTTATTGTCTTGTTTTATTTCTCTAAGCAATAAATAGTAAAAAAGTTAAGAAAAAAATCAAAAAGTAAAACAAAATCCAAGTACCTTGATAAGAGCTGTATTAATGGAGTCTATCTTTTCTTTCTAAAATAGTTTCCCAAAACTACACCTATAGGTATAGATGCAGAATCTCCTAACAGCAAAAGTTTTATAAGCATCAACATAACGATGAAAATTTTCCAAATGCATTCATGATTTTGGTGGAAATCATTTTCTTGCTACCTGTGACTTGATTACCTAAGATAAAATTTATATATTCAATCAAAGCTTTTTCCACATCCTGTCCTGAATAGAATATCNTCTTGCTGCCAATATAAGGTCATGGGATGGGATGACACTTCACCACATATTTTTTAACTCAAGAGATCATAAGCTGCCTTTTACCGTGCAACTAGAGTCTGTAAATAGTAGAAACATGTAAATACTTAATATTAAGAGCACATTTATACAAAACACAGTACAACTAATGAGGGATTACGTGCCCACTCTACTTTAAAAGAAAAATGCAGATAATAAGAATAAATGTATCTTGATAAGTTACACACCCTTATTTTATAAAGTGAATGGCAGTAAAAGTCAGAGTTCAGGTCAGGCCAGAACTAACTTAAGTTAGGAGGATAAACCTATTTAACAAGCACATTGTACATCATACCTTAAGGGAAGTCAATACTACTAACGGCACAACACTGAACAGATAACAGAATGGCCATTTGTACAGATTTCATTTGATACTTCTCCCATAATTTGCTACAAGGAGCTCCTTGCAACCAGGATGAAGGATGGTATGGGTCACACACATCAAAGGCCTTCCTGAAAGAAACACAGGATGGAAGGTGCCACCCAAAGATGGCTTGGATGTGTCTACAGATGCCCCTGTATTTCAAGGAGGTTGTCACTGTTCATTGAGATTGCACAAAAGCAGGCCAGCAAGATGTGGGTCACCAACCAGACCTCCTTCTGACCCACTGACCCTCTCTTCTCCTAGGCCTGATAAGAGGGAAAAGAGGAGAGAAGGTGAGGATTGGAAAAAGAAGAGGGAGCGACACAGGCGTTCATTGCTAGGTCTGGAGTTGTTAGTGTTCTTCAGAGCAGTGGCCTTTTTTCAAGCTCACATCATCCAATCCAATCTCCCCAGTGTGACCACGCCTTTTTTCACCTTTGAAGATGACCTAGGAGAGAATGCACACACCAGTCAAGCCTCCTCTGCCCCTTTCCAATGCCCACTCGTTTAGCAAAATAAAGGCAAACCTTCCCCAAAACTGAATACTAAAATTATTGAACAGGAGGAAAGACGAGAACATAGTTGCCAGTGTCACCTAGGCTTGTTTTTCGTTAGAAACTTGAATCGTCAGTCAACTGTTCTTCAGACCACATTACTCAGAATCAGTTACTCTTTAAAAAACTATTCTAAACTACAGACTAATTCAATTTAGGAATGCTTATAAAGTGTACACTTTTGTCAAAGATTACCAAGGTT